ACCCTCCTTGAAGACTGAGATATAAAGGCATCAAAAAGAGCTTGAGATCTTAAAAAATGACAGACTTCGGCCTTGCCCTTCACCTACCAGTGGCTCATACCTCAGCGCTGCAGACTTTTACCCGCACACCTCTAGACTCTGTTCCTTTCTAAAGATACGGAAGTAAAGAGGGTACCGAACCTCTCTGGTACCAGCCCAGCTGTCCCCCTCACCCCTCTGTCCCTGCCACACCTGTCCTTTTGTCAAACTGGCGGCAGCCTCCAGGGCCTTGAGGCTTCACCCAGGCCCTGCTTGTCTGCCAGCCCCACAAGGTGCGTCCAGGGCTTTTTTGTCACCAGTTGAGAAAAGCAGGCATTTTGCCTCTCTCTCCTCTCCTCCCACTCCTGCAGCTCAGCCAGGTTTCCCACCTGGCTCAGGGTCAGAATAGGGGACAACAGAGGTTGCTTTTCAGGGTTGAACAAGGCAGGGTGGTATGGGAAGGGATGTCATCAGGTGGCAGGCAAGTTGGCTCAGGGAGAGCTACCCTGGGCATAGACAGGTGGAGATCAGGAGTATGATGGGTGTCACCCCTGCAACTCCCCAGGTCTTCCTGCATGAAGCGACTGTGCGCCTGATGGCAGGAGCCAGCCCCACCCGCACCCACCAGCTGCTGGAACACAGTCTGCGGCGCCGCACCACACAGAGCGCCAAGCATGGTGAGTCCACCGCTCTCTAGCTCGCAGGCTGGGGCTGGCCCTGCCCTCTGGGAAGAGAGGAGGGGAGGGGCCAGCCCAGCTCCCACATCTAGCAGCTGTGCCCAACACACCTCTCTGAGAATGAAAGAAGCTTGAGACCGTTCTTGGTGGGTTGCAGGGGTGGGAGTGGTCATGGGTCATGCTGTGATCAGGGAAGGGGGGTTGGGGTGGGGTCCGAGCACAGGCACAGGTGGAGAAGCAGAGGCTCTGACCAGACAGTGTGGCTCCATCTCAGCCCCAGCCCCACCACAGGCTGGCCGTGGGACACTGGACAAGTTTCTTTTCCGTGGACTGGTGGGGGGCAACAGACCCCACCTCCCAGGATGGGTGTCAGTGTTGACTGAATGAGTCCAGGTAACGCTGAGGGACAGCACCGGCTACATGGCGGACTCTCAGTTCTGACATATATCTTCTTCCCACAGGAGAGGTGGATGCCTGGCCTGGCCAGCGAGAGCGGGCCACTGCCATCCTGCTGGCCTGCCGCCACCTTCCCCTCTCCTTTCTCTCCTCCCCGGGCCAGCGGGCAGTGCTGCTGGCCGAGGCTGCCCGCACCCTGGAGAAGGTGGGTGACCGGCGCTCCTGCAATGACTGTCAGCAGATGATTGTCAAGCTCGGTGGTGGCACTGCCATTGCTGCCTCCTGACCACCAGGCTCAGCCCGCCCCTCCACCTCTCGGTTCCTCTCTCTCCCCCAGCATCTTCCCGCTGAGAGTGGTAGGAAGGAGCCTTGTCTTCCTAGCTGTCACCTGCCAAGGCTTCTGGGCCACCTCAGGCAAGTGGGCCCCTGGGCAGAGCCCCTTAAAGCTGCTGTCACTAGATTTCCATGGTCGAGGGTCTGGTGGGCATGAGAGGAAAGGTGGCAGGGCAGAAACTGTTTCTTGAAAGCAGCAGGGGGAGCTCCCAAGCTGCCAGGCCCCTGCCTCCAGCCTTCCTGACTTTTCTCCTGAACGTCACTCTCTCCTTTCTGCTTCCTCGGTTTTTATCAGGCTCTCTCTGGGAGACAGTAGTCTCTCAGCACCAGGGAGCAGCAGCCCTCAGGCCTGTGCCCGGCATGCCCTCCCCCCTTTTTATACGAATGTTTTCTATCAGTGTGCTTGGGTTTGCCATGATGCGAGGCTGAGTTGCTGTGGCATCTTGATTCTCTCCCTGGGTCTGCGTTCCCTCCCCTGTACCTGACTGAGCCCACTCATTGTTTTTCCCTTTATTACATAGGACAGCCAGGGGAGGAGGGGACCCGAGCTCTGGGAGGCTGGTGGGAGGCAGGGGGCATGCCTGCGGATGGATGAAATTATGTCGGCATTATTTTTTAATTTTTTAAGAAATAAATGGTATCTTATTTAATTGTCCTGTTCCTTCCCACTCCCCACCTCCTAGGATGTCAGCCCAAGCTCAGGGTAGGCCCAGGGGGCTGGGAGAAATGAAGCCACCCATTGGGACTGGGAACCAGGGCCTTCAGCATGGCGTCCAGGTTCCCTCCTCCCTGACCCCAACACCTACCTCCACAGTGCAGACTGGCCCTGACTTTACAGTGGTTCAGCTTCAACCATGTTTCAACTTTACAATTGGTCTGTCGGGGTATTAAATGAATTTTTGAATTATGATATTTTCATTTATGATGGATCTATCAGGAAGTAACCCTATGTAAGTTGAGGCATATCTGTGTATTTTTATCCCTAATTCTTTTTTTTCTTAAGACGGAGTCTCGCTCTGTTGCCAGGCTGGAGTGCAATGGCATGATCCTGGCTCACTGCAACCTCCGCCTTGCGGATTCAAGCGATTCTCCTACCTCAGCTTCCTGAGTAGCTGGGACTACAAGCACATGCCACCGTGCCCAGCTAGTTTTTGTATTTTTTAGTAGAGATGGGGTTTCACCATGTTGGCCAGGATGGTCTTGATCTCTCAACCTTGTGATCTGCCCGCGACGGTCTCCCAAAGTGCCGGGTTTACAGGTGTGAGCCACCATGCCTGGCCTTTTTATCACTAATTCTTGACCTGAAAATAAACCAGGGTGGCCCAACCCCTCCCCAGCAGCAAGCCCCTCTTTACAGAGTGGGCAGAAGGTTGCCTTTGGTGGACACTAGGAATGAGGTCCCTGCCTTGATGTGAGTTCTAGGAGAAAAAGTCCCACTTTTCTGGACTCCCTGTGCCTCATCCTCAAGCTGTTTGGGGCAGAGGGTGGGCAGGAGCCCCAACACAGACTGGGGCCTGCTCACAGTGGGGCCCCTTGATGCAGGCTGGAATGTGTCAGCTTGTGTTGTCCCTGGGGTGTGCGTGGACCCCACCTGCTTTCTTTCTCTCCTGCCCCTCCCCCACTTACTGTAATTTATGGACCCTGCCCGCTCAAGTGTCGTGTGTATGTCCTGTGCCTTTTCTCATTATTGTTTGGGGGTGGGAGGGGGTGGTTTTTCACTCAAAAGGGGGATACACCTATGGCTTCCTTGATGTTCAATCAGTCACTGTGTCCCAGACCTAGGTTATTCAATAAACACTGATTGGTACCACCCAGCACAAGGTGTGTGAGGGTCTGTAATGCGACTGCTGTGGTGTCCAGCCAAGGGGCTGCCTGACTTGGCAGGCAGTGGGCCACGGGCTGTGGGTGGTGCTTCAGGGGTCAGAGGTCGTGCTATCCAGGTTCCAGCTTGTTCCCTGGATGTAATGTGGCTGGCTGACCTCTCCCCTGCTGAGTAAGCTGCTCCCCGGTTTCCCTTCCCTGGAGGCAGCGACCCTCCGAGCCAGGAGGCAAGTCAGACCCAAGTCCGGGTCCTGTGCTTGTCTCCCACTTCCACGCGTGCAGAATAGGGATGCTAAGCCCAGCCATGGACTGTAGTTCCACAGGCTTGTGTGCCCAGAGTGAGTGCCTTGTGAGGCTGCTGAGACACACGAGGGGCAGGACCACAGTCTGGGATGGTAGTGCTGGGCCTTGTTGCAAGAGAAGTCAGGATGGGGCTGAATCCCTTCTGCTCTGAGCCACTTCCTCTGAAAGGTAGTCACAGCAGGCTACACTGCCCTGAGGACCAGAGCAGCCTAGTGAAGCCCAGTTGCAGCTGGTCCCATGCACGGTTCCATCATTTTCAAGGATGGCTACTGTCCACAGCCTCAGCCTGGTTCCACTGGGATGGAGATCCAGGGCCCTTGGGACTGAGAATGAGCAGGGGGAATTGCCCACTCCTGGTATAGCTCAGCCACAGTCTTCATCATGTGTTGGGGGGCAGGGGATGGGAGGTGGACCAAGAAGGAACTAGATCCCTTTGTGAATCTGCAGCCTCCATGACTCAGCCCCCACCCCCCTCCTCCAACTCTGCACAGCTGTGGGACAGGGGCAGGACTGTGGGCCCAGGGCTCTGTCCTGGGGTTTCTAGGCCTTGGTTGCCTTAACACCTTAAAGGCACAGGGAGGTGCACCCTTCACCTGACAGGAGCAAAGACCAGGCCTGCTGGGTTCTGGGGCCTCAGGGCAGCCCAGCCAGCAGATGGAAAGCTCCAGACTTTATATATACCCTAGGAACAGGGAGCCCTCCCTACCAACACTCAGAACCCTCTCTACCTGCCAGACTGCCTGTTGCTTGCCATTCCAGCCGATTCACAGCAATCCAGAAGGGTCCTGACCTGGGAGTCCACTGGGTGACCTTGGGCAAGCTACTTAGGTCTCAAAACCTGAATTTCCTCCTCTGTAAAGACTGCACCCCCATGAGGCTCTTGCAGATTTCTTGAGAAAGGCCAACAAATGGCCATTGTTTTTAACACAGTACACCACACCTCAGGTACTCAGGAGGGAAAAGGACTCACCTGGGTGGCTTTGTTGAGGTCATATCCCTCAGCCACCCACAGCCAGGTACCGGGAGCCCTCCCGGAGGGGCACTGCCAGGGACCCTGCTCCAACTTTCCCCTACTTTGCTTCAAAGAAGCTACTGGGAGGAGGTGCCGCCATCCTGAGCACCAGATGTCCCCACAGCCCACACCCATTAAGGGGGGTAGCCCCGGGCCAATCTGGCCAAGCGACCTGCAGGCCAGGGGCCGGCCCACAGCCAATGGTCAGTGAGCATCAGCCAGGTTCAACCACCTCAAGCTGCAGTGGCAGAAGTCTAACCATCCCCTCTCCCAGGGCTCCCACTGGCGTGGGCATTAACCCTGACATTCAACCCTGACCACCCTCTCCAGCCATTGCTCCCTGGCTGTGGCCAGTGCACTGGAGCAGTCCTCCACCCTTGCACACGCTGTGCCCTCTGAGGCCTGCACTGCCGTCTGTCCAGTCAATGACCAATGCTGCCTCGCATCCACGCTGGGGCCTCTTTATTCTCAGGAGCGGGAACCACATAAAAGGGCTTATTTACAAGACCAACCCGCGGCCTGCGGGCTCCAAGACCCCAGTGCCCTTGAGGCAGACGGAAGAGCTGGCCTTCCGGGCCGGTGCTCCTCTCTCTGTGGCCTGGGGCTCCGACGGACAGACGAGGGCCCCAGCCCATGACGCCTCGAGGGGACCGCGGCCCCGCTTCACACGGTAACCTCGGTCTTGCTGTTGGTCCTTAGGTACCGAGACCCGCGGCCCGCGCTGCGGTAAAGGCCGAGGGGCTGCGGGCTGAAGGCCGAGGGCATTTTCTCCGCGCTGAACTGGCGCCGGGCTGCATGGCCGGACCGCCGGGGTACCTGGAAGGCCTGAGCCGCCAGGTGGCCGAGCGGGGCAGGTCGGACCGGGCGACCGGCGGTCCAGGCGGCATAGGGACCCGGCACGGCAGGGGGCGCGTAGCCCGGCGGGGCCCAGGGGCAGGCGTCCCGCGGCGCAGGCAAGTCCGGGGGGGGCCGCGGGGACCGCTGGGAGACGGGGAAACGCTGGCAGAAGTCCCGCGGGGCGGCCTCTGCAAGCAGAGGGCAGGGAAGGGTCAAGCCGCGCCTCGCGGGGAGCTCGGCGCCTGAAGCTCCGGACGCGACGAGGGGTCCCGGTAGGGGGCGGGGCCAAGGCGGGCGGGAGGCGGGGCCGGCCGGGGCGCGGGAGCCGATTGGCCGAGCGGCGGGCGCGCGGGACTGAGAACTTGGCGCCGGGAGACTGGGAGCCGCGCCTCGCAGTCCCGGAGCCCGCGACCCCGGCTTCCCTCGCGCCGCCCGCACCCCGCACTCACCTGAGGCCTTGAGCGTTGCGGCCTTAAATGTGGCGTACTTGCCGTAGTCGGGCTGCAGCGTCAGGCTGCGGCCGACTTGCAGCCGCGGGCCGCGCGGGGGCCCCGGGCCGGCCGACCCCAGGGGCGCGTTGTTGAGGTGCTTCTTGTCTGCAGCGGGGAGTGGGACGCGGCTCGGCCCGATGCCCCGGATCACTGCGTCCGCGCTGTCACCTCTCCGCAGCCCTCTCCCCGAGGCTGTTCGGTGAGAACCTGGGGGACCGTCCTCCGGGCGCGGCTGCGAGCCGAGCCTGTGTTCGCGGCAGCCTCCAGCGCCTGGAACAGGACCTGGCTCCAAATCACGCGCAGCGGCGGCGGCAGCCAGCCCGGGGGGTGCCACCCTCGTGAACGGTTCGCCTGGAGGCGACGCTCGAGCCAGGCGTGGAGTCCTGGGACCTGCTCCCGCCGAGATGGGGGATGTCTGAGGAACAGAACCCAGACGGGGCGTAGGGGCTGCCAAGCCTGCCTGCTCTTGAGAGACCCAGGGGGAGGCTCCGGAGCCCGAGCCTCAGACCACAGCCCCAGCCAGCAAATCCTGCATCTGGAACCTTCCTCACACAGCACAGCCCCCCAGACTCGAGGCCGCAGGACCCAGGAGGGGTCCCTCTCCACCCTGTGAAGCTGGCTGGCCGGTCGGGCCCCTCACACCCGCAGAGGCAGCGGCTCATTTCCACTGGGGAAGCCTCCACACCCCAGCCGAGGGACCCCCCCGCCTCTGCCTCTCAGGCCCGCCCGCCACCGACTCACCTGCGCTGTTGTGGGGGGAGCCCTGAGGGAGGCCGTCCCCCATCTGCACCTGGACACAGCCACCCAGAGGCAGGCCCAGGGTGGGAGGTAATGGCTCCTGCGGGCCTGGCTGCTTCAGAAGCTCCGTCAGCGTCCTGCAGGGACAGAGCGGTCAGGGGTGGACCTTTTTGCTTCCCACCTCATCAAGGACCTGCCCGGGCCACCACCGCCTCACCCTGTGGCCCTGGGCAGTTCTCTCAGCCTCTCCAGGCCGTCCTCTCTGGTGCTCGAACTCACACACAAGCTACCTGCCAGCCTCACATGTGGCCCCAACACAGCTGCTTCCCAGAGCAGACGAGGAAACTCTCACGGGGCTCCCCTTCCCACCCCTCCCTGGAGCCCACTCTCTGGGACCCTCCTTGGTTGAGCCTCCTCTCCCAATGCAACTTTCTCTGCTTTCCTGCCCCTCGTCCCATAAAACTGCTACTCATTCTTCAGATTCCACCAGCGGCCTCCTCCAGGAATCCTTTCTTTCTTTCTTTCTTTCTTTCTTTTCTTTCTTTCTTTCTTTCTTTCTTTCTTTCTTTATTGAAACTGAGTCTTGCTCTGTTGCCCAGGCTAGAGTGCAATGGCGCCATCTCTGCTCACTACAACCTTCACCTGCTGGGTTCAAGGTGCCCACCACCACACCCAGCTAATTTTTGTATTTTTAGTAGAGATGAGATTTCACCATGTTGGCCAGGCTGGTCTCAAACTCTGCCTGTCTCGGCCTCCCAAAGTGCTGGGATTACAGGTGTGAGCCACTTTACCCCTCGCAGGAAGCCTTATTTACCTGCCTGCCCAAATGCCCCTGCAGCTGCGGCTTCTGCTGGGACCTGGGATGAAGCTGCCAACACGGGCAAGAAGGACAGATGGATGAAGGTAAGAAGATGCTGGGAGACTTCCGTCGCAGCCCAGGACCCACAAGCTGTGTGACCTTGGGCAGCCACCTCCCTGGACCCAACACCCAGCCCCCACCCAGCTGTGATGTAACAGTGTCTGTGCAGCCCAGCTGCCCTCAGAACCCAGAATGCATGATTCTCTCCTACTCAACCTGACCCTCCTTCTGGGGCTGGGGCCTCAAAAGGCTGATTCGTGAAGGGCATTCAGGAGTCAGGACACTGGGGATGGCCAAGGTTTGTCTTCAGGTTTGGTGACAGGGTCTGAAAGCATCCTAGTACCTGCCTGGACTGCCCTTCCTGCCCTGCCCACTGCCCAGAGGCTCACCTCTGTGGCCTCATCTCCGGGCAAGCACTGCCAGCTCCTCTCTCCCTGACAACTGAGTAATTGCCAAGCCTCTGGGCCTTTGCACAAACTGTCTCTGGATGCCCGCCCCAAGCCCTCTGAGAAGCCTTCCCTCGCCTTCAAAGCCCCAGCACAGCAGAATTAAGGGTGAGACTTGTGAGGAGGGCAGGGACTCAGGACACACCCACACACGAGCCCAAGCCCTGTTCCAGGTCTCTCCAGCAGAGAAAAGGGAGTCAGGGTCCATGGGAGCCTGAAGCCCAGAAAGAAGGGACTGGTCTAGGCCACGCAACACAGCAGGGGTGGGTGCAGCCTTCCTGAGGCATCACCAAACCTGCTGCCCCTTCCCCAGCAGGCACAGGGAGTTTGGGGTGAACATGTCAGCTGGGCTGCCACAGCTACTCCTCATGGCCTTCAGGTCCTTTTGCCCTGCCCCTGTCAAAGACACACCTGGGCCTCCTTCATGCTATCCTCACGCAGCATGAGGGACCCCCAAATTTGGGCAACTCAGTCCCTACCCCTGCGGTATCCAGAAGCCAAGCCAGGAGGCTCCACCTCCTGGAGGCGGTGCAGGAGCTGAGGGTGGAGGCCAGGGTGCCAGCCCAAGCTCCACCCTACAGCTCCCTGGGAGAAAGTGGGCTACATGGTTTCAGGAGTGAGGGGTGCTGGAGTGCCAAGGAAGCCCTCAGGCCCTGCCTCTGAGGCCCAGGAGGGGGAAGTGTCCACATCTGTCCCACTAGGGCATGGGGGCTTCTCTGTGGTCACTTCTAAATACCAGCCTGTCACATGCAGTGTCAGCAGCTCACAGGCCCATAGGGTGCTGGGACCAGGTGGATGAGGAAGGTACAGGATCCAGGGCATGAGGGTTGCTGGGGGCATATGAGTGCCACCTGAGGCATGTGGGTGAGAGTTCCAGGATCCAGACACATAGAGTCCCAGAGTCCTTATTCCAACCGAGAAAGGGGACCTAGACCCTGCAGCCCACTTCACACCAAGCTCTGAATGCAGCAAGCACCTGTCCTGGCCTCAGCAACACACGACTGTGTTCCAGAGTCCTTCTTCTTTTTTTTTTTGAGACAGAGTTTCGCTCTTGTTACCCAGGCTGGAGTGCAATGGCACCATCTCGGCTCACCGCAACCTCCACCTCCTGGTTCAGGCAATTCTCCTGCCGCAGCCTCCTGAGTAGCTGGGATTACAGGCACACACCACCATGCCCAACTAATTTTTTGTATTTTTAGTAGAGATGGGGTTTCACCATGTTGACCAGGATGGTCTCGATCTCTTGACCTTGTGATCCACCCGCCTCGGCCCCTCAAAGTGCTGGGATTACAGGCATGAGCCACTGCACCCGGCCTTCCAGAGTCCTTCTTCTAAGGAAAGGGAGCCCTGACCTTCACCTGAAGCTGTGGCATGGGGTGAGTAGGGGTAGGCCTCTGAAACCCAAGGAGGGAAGGGCAGCCCTGAGTCACAGCTACGGGGGCAGGGGAGAGGCAGGAGGTGGGCAGGAAGAGGGGAGGGAAGAGTGGGGAGAAGCAGGAGAGGAGCAAACAAACACAGAGCCAAGGGCCCCTTCCCTTCCCTGTGCCCAAGACACCCAATACTACATCAGCCCGGTCTCCCTCCTGTCCCGTGGCCCCATGGACGGTGACCCCGTGCCCTCTGTCCAAAGCTACCCAGCCCCCCACCCCCTCCAGAAGATGCTAGAGCGAGGGAAGGCGATGCAGCGCCCAGCACAGGCGGAAGGTCAAGGGGAGTCAGGGCAGTGTCAGGTGTCTCGCTGATGAAGTGGGGGTGGGGGGTGGGGAGACAGAAAAAAAACAGAGAAGGGGCCTACTGGGAGAACTAGCAGGCAGGGAGAGCAGTCCGAGGAGCGGGCGGGGGGTGGTCCCCGGCGGCGCGCGCTCACCTGGTTACCGTGCGTCGTGCGCGCGGGTTGTGCGCCCTCTCCAGGCCCAGGCGCGCCCCGATGCCGGCCAGCACCAGCAGCGCGGCGACACCGCACACCGCGTAGACGGCAGTGTGGCTGCGCTCGCGGCCCGGATCCCGGGGCGCCGCGGTGTCGCGGGCACGGGCGGGCGGTCGGCCGGTCTGGACCCAGGCTGGCGTGTCGTAGTTGGAGCAGCGGCTCTGATCGAGGCGCCGCGGCCCGTCGTGGCAGCAGAAACGGTAGCCGCACGTGCCGCAGCAGAAGCTGTAGGCGCCCGAGCTGCAGTTGAAGGGCGGGTCCCATTGGCCCATCACGTCGTAATAGCCCCGGCAGCGGTCGCCCCCCGCCGGGGCTGTGGTGCCGGGCGCCGCGGGCCCCTGCGCCTCGGGGGTCCCCGCGCGACCCGACGGCGGCCGCGCCAGCAGCAACGCTAGCCGAAGCGCGAGCGCAAGCCGGAGCCTGGGTGGACGGCGGACGCCGAGCAGTCCCCGCGCTCCGGCCCGCGCCATCGGGCCCGCGCCTCTTGCTACTGCGCCCGGTGCATGGCCGGGCGCTGCAGCTCCCTCCGGCTCGGCCCCGCTCCCGCAGGGATCGCACTGGCTCCCGACGCACGCCGCCTCGGCCGTCGGCCTCCTCTGGGGACCCCAGCCCCGGGAGGGCTGGCTCTAGAGCTCCGAAGCCGCACCCCCGGTGGGCGCGTCCTCCGCCAGGGCTCACCTCGGACCCGAGCTGCCCGGTCCGCGTCCTGGGATCTCTCCCGGGCCGGACAGCAGGTCCTCGCCCGCGCGCGGTCCCCGGCTTCTTTCCGGCCCAGTAGGTGTGCGTGTCTTGACCCTAGCAGGGGCCACGGGCCGCCAGACTCCGCTGCCTTCCTGCCGCCCGCTCGGTGCAGCCCGCACTCTGGCTCCTGCTCCGGCTCCGGCTCCCGCTCCGCGCGGGCTCGGGCGGGCGGGGGAAGGAGAGAGGAGGGAGGGCGGGAGGGAGGCAGAGCCCGGGGAGGAGCGCGGCCGCCGCGAGAGGCGAGAGGGGGCAGCAGGGACCGCGCAGCCGGGGCGCCCCACGGGGGACCCTCCCCAAAGGCTGCCCAGAAACATTCCTCTGAACTGGGCGCTCAACGAGGATCTACTCTAGGGCCCGCGACTGGAGCGTCCCTGTCTTACAGGTGCGGGGACCGAGGCGCAGAGGTCAAAGCAGCCCGGAATTGCCCCGGGACGGGCAGAGCCACCCTCCCACCTCCTCCTGTCCCCTCTATTCCTTCTGAGCATAACATGAGGAGGACCCCTGCCTCTCTCGACGCCTCGGTTTTCCCATCTGTCCTGCTGGCAGCGCCGCTTCAGAGGGCCAAGGATTTATCCCAGGGCGCGAGTTCAGTTCCAGAACCTCCCGAACGCTGGGCTGGGGTCCCGGGATGTCTCCATCCCCTCGTCGACCGGCACAGCCAGACTGATGCATTCCCGCGATCTGCTTCTTCCCCAGGTGTGTGGAGGGGGAGATTGGGTTCTCCTCGACCCTGGAAACGGAAGGCCTGGAAGAGGAAGACCTCTGCACTGCGCGAACCGCAGGTCCTTTCACAAACCGAGGGTAAGGGTGTGGGGGCTGTAAGGAGCTCGGACCTGGTCCCAGCACGGCCCAGTGGTGTTTTCCGAGTTGAGCGGAACTGGAGAATGTGGTGGTGCCGCTGTGCCTGGCTTCTCCCTGCCTCAGTAGCTCATCTTAACATCAAAAACTCTTCCTGGAGGGCACACTCATAATCTGCCCCTTCCAGGAGGTAGGGGTCGATATGGGACTTCCCCCTATCCAGATGGAAACAGCAGGAGGGCCAGGACTGGACATGCAATTCACCCAGTGTGCAGCACAGCTCAGGCCCCTGCCAGCATTTGCTGAATGAATAACTGAACGAAAGGGCTCCAGCGTCTAGTTTCTGTGAGATGAAGCAGTGGGACTCCCTAGGGTCCCTCCTGGACCCCTTTCCATCTGTCCTTCACTCAGCAACTGGGAAGAGCTTATGAAAAGTGGAGGAGGTGGAGGAGGAGAAGAGGAAGGATTTACATTTTAAGGAGGATCAAGTCTGTTGCCTGACATGAGGGCCTGTCAGGCTGATTTCAGGTATTAGTGGGTTCAGACAGGAAGAGGAGGTGACTTCCCCACCCCACCCCCACCCTACCCCCTGCACAGCTTCTCCCTGTGCCTTGGCCAAAGACAGCCTGCTCACACACCTACACACACACATACACACACTTCCCATCCAGCCCTGAAGACCTCACCCTCATTAAAGAATGTCTTATTACGAGTTTAGAAGAAAACACAGATGAACAAAGGAATTAAATGAAATTGCTTTAATCCCATCACCAGAGACAACCACAATAAAATATGTCACACTTTCCATGCTGGCTTGTAACTGGTTTGTAGTTTACTTTTTGCCATCCTTAAACTTTTTGTTTGTGATTCTTCTCAGAGCTTCAGAGCTCTCCTTTCTGGAGCATCCTTTCCTGCTTCCTTGGCACTGCTAGAAATGGAATCTGTGGCACAGCCCGCACTGCTGGTATTTAAGTCCCCACCGCCCTCTGCCCTGGAGGCCTCAGTGGCTCTGAGGGTGGCCACTTCTCCCAACTTTCCCACCCATTGCTGGGCACTCAGTTGAAAGAAGTTTTCTCTGCCCCCTTGGAACTGGGGCCTCTTCCAAGTTAGGGTGACCCTGCTGGGTCAGAGCAAGTGTCCCAATGCTCTCCCTTCCTGGGCCCCCTCCTGCCCCCACTGTCCTGGCACTGGGTGTTTTCCTCATGTTGACCCCATCAGGCCTTCAAATACATATACATAGTGACAGTCACTTGTCCAATGAAGAAAGTGGATTACAGCCCCTCCCAGGGACTGATGTGCAACCCCCAATGTGTACCCCCCAAACACACACACAGGCACATGCACACATAGCTTCCTCCCCATCTCAATTCCATTCAGTGGTCAGCCAGCAGCCATAGGTACCCACAACTACTGAGTCTGTGCCAGGCACTGAATACCCTCTCCTCTCTATGGGAACACCTGGCCGCAGGGAGTGAGGGCAGCAGGAGAGGGCAACTGCGGACACAGAGCCCAGATGACCCTGACTGGCTGAGTCCTGGGATCTGATTGCCCATTCAGCTGACACTGCCCCAGGTGCCTGGCTATGTGCCTCGTGAGGGGATATGGAGATGGAGCAGCCCAGCCGAGGAGTGACCCCTTTGCCCTGGACCCCATGGTCTCTTACCACATCAAGGCTCCAGGGCACCCACCCCTTATCTCTTCTGCCCGCCCCCTCCACTACCACCAAGCCTGTGTCACCAAAACTCATCCATTGATCCAGGCTTAAAATAACCCCTGGCATCTGCAGCGAGCCCCGCGGGGCGGGCAGAGGAGCCGAGTCCCTGCTCCTGAAGGGCACCCGCCCCGCCCCCAGCTCCCAGTGCTGGCAGCTCCAGTGTGCGGGTGTCTGAGCATGCTTGAGTGAAAGCAAGAGTGTGCATGTCTGCGGCTAGCATGACTATGAGGGCCCTCCCTGCACAGGGGGCATGTGTGTGCACACATGTGTCAGCATACATGCTCCTGTGTGCACACAGCCTTCCTCCATGTTGAGCCCTCACCTGGTGCCCAGTTCTGGCTGTGGAAGGCTGGGGGCCCTTAGAAGTGTGGACAAGATGAACATCCTGTGCTGGGAATCAGTGTCCTCATTTTAGATGGTGGGTGACCTCTTGGGACAAGTCCTAACGTGTATGATAAATTATATTGTTTGCTGAGAACAATGGCAAGGAATATCTGTTGGCCCTCTCAAATGGCAAACTGCTTGTGGCATTCTAAAGTAGCAAAGCGGGGTATGTATATCATACACCAGTGAAAACAATTCTTTCAGCACGGGATATGTGACCCGCCCCCGTGGCTCCCTCGTGGAGAACACTTTCTACTTTCTCCTTGATCAGTGATAAACAGGCATCAGCTGTCTACCTAGTTTATCTTGGGTCTATGAGAAAACACAGAACACCTGTTGGTTAATAATGATCACCTGTTCAGAGAGAATAAATACCTGGGTCAGCAGCTGCTTGAGGCTCTCAGCACGGAAGGCTGTCAGCTTCTGAGGCTCTCAGCATGGAAGGCTGTTGGCCCCTGGATAGTCCCACTTTGCTGTTCTGTCTGGGTGTCTGTTTCTTAATGCCTTCGGCACCGCCTGGATGGGGGTCTCTATGGCCGAGCTGGTCTCGGTAGTGCCCAGTCTGCCAGCTCTGTTGAGTCCTGAGAAAGGAGGTTTGGGATTTCCTAGAGAGAAACTCAAGACAGAGAGGGGAAGTGACTTGCTGTGACCAACACACAGCCAGGAAGGGCAGGGTTTGGCCTGGAACCTGCGCTGCACTCTGGCCCTGAATCCCCATTCTGGCCAGTTCAGCACACCCGGGAAGCACTCCTACCCCTTGACAGGGTCCTCACCAACGCCTGACCCAGGCACACTTGCCCCCTGCCTGGACACACAGGCTGCCCTCTCTTCCTTGAATGCCGTTTCCAGCCCCACATGGCCAGAGCTTTTACGTATTATTTATTTTATTTTATTGTTTTGAGATGGAGGCTCACTCTATCACCCAGGCTGGAGTGCAATGGCACGATCTGGGCTCCCTGCAATCTCCTCTTTCCGGGTTCGAGATTCTCCTGCCTCAACTTCCCGAGTAGCTGGGATTACAGGTGCCTGCCACCACACCCAGCTAATTTCCATATTTTAGTAGAGACAGGGTTTCACCATAGTGGTAGGGAACTCCTGACCTCAGGTGATTCGCCTGCCTCGACATCCCAAAGTTCTGGGATTACAGGTGTGAGCCATCATGCCTGGTTAATTTTTGTATTTTTAGTAGAGACGGGGTTTCACCATGTTGGCAGGGCTGGTTTCCAACTCCTGACCTCAAGTGATCAGCCGTTTAGGCCTCCCAAAGTGCTGGGATTACAGGTGCTAGCCATTGCACCCAGCTTTTAATCCTTTACTTTGGAGCCAGGCTGACCGGGTTGGAATTCCCACTCTACAGGTCCATTCAACCTTTCCAGACCTCAGTTTTGTCGTCTGCAAGATGGGCTGGCGGCATTTCCACAGGGTTTCAGGGAGAAGCGGTGGACCCCAGACAGGAAACAGCCAGGTACATGCGGCTTTGTGGGAGCATTCACTGAAGCCAGGCTGAGAAGACTGTGACCGCGGATGCTACCCACAAGCCTCCAAGGCTTCATTCCTAAGCTAATTTCACTTCTGTTTGTTCAGTGATGGAGTTATCCAAGAAGCAAAGGTTCTTGGGGACTCTGGGCTCCCTGCTGGTACAAATACTGGTACCAGGAGGAGGTCTGGAGGGAGGGCCCACGGCTGTCTTTTTCTCAGTTAGGCAACTCTGACTCAGGCTCCAGCTGCCTGTGGGAGGGTGGGGGCGACCGGGCTCCTGAGGCTGGAAGCTGGGGCTTAGCTCCCCGTCCCATTGCGCCCAACACTTTCCCCGACCCGCATCCCGCCCTGCCTCAGGGAGTTGCACTCCAGCTGTCACAGGTAGTCTCTCTGCCTGAACGCCCCCACGGTCTCCCCCTTCAGGACCCTCCAAAGCCCTAAGTGAATGTGCGAATCTGAATCTGGAGCGGACACCGAGACCATAGCGTGGGAACCAAGAGGACCGAGCTCCGCGGAGGCCACAGCACGTCTATGAGGACAGGTGCGCCCTCGCCAGGCCCCCAGTTCCTGGGGCGCAGTTTCGTGCAGAGGAGTCCTGCACCCCCTCCCCGGAGCCTCGCCCTTGAGTCAGGTCCGTGGACCGCATTCCGGGCCCCCTGGCTTGGGATGTGCGTGAGGACAGACTCCCAAGAGTGCAGAAGTCTGGAGCCCAAAGTAGGTGCCCTAGGCCTTGGTCCCACTA